GGGGGTGGTGGGGCACTGGCGCTGCTGTCAGATTAAAACCGTTCATAGAAATAAAATCATTTATTATTAAAGTATACGGTTGTACCGGGTACTGTATTTCAAAAAGTGCAAAAAAAACATTTGGTTACTTTAAATTTTGACTGTTAAATTACAAAATAAGATGTGCAGAGATCAAAAGATGTACAAGGAATAAATACTTTATAATTACAGTATTTATTCTACTGTACAGTATTGCATTTTACTTGATCTTATTCTATTTTACATCCAACTACTTACTCGCACCTTTTACTTTTAAGATGTGCTGTAGCTATGTGGGATAATTATTCCATCCAACTTCAGCGAGATCACATGTTAGGGATTTAACTGGCTTTAGGGATGTCAACCTGCAGATCAATTAAATTAAACCACAGAAGTGGTTCCAACCCGACAGCAGCGCCTCACTGATGACGTCCTCAGCACCACAGGGTGAAATAAAAACACAACCTTGAGTTATTGATCTGATGCACTGCCATGTGGACCGGTGACCCATCTCTGAGCACTGTTGCTATGGCAAAACGTTGCTATGAGGAATATGGGGCAGCACAGAGTGGGCGGGCTGGGTCACACACACACAGTAAATCAAAAACAAAACAAGGAGGAAGTTGAGTAAAAGTAAGATGTCTGCTGATAGCCACAGGGTGCATCATGGAGCTGGGGTGGTGGATCGGCATGGGTCTTGAAGGGACGGACACACACACCATAAGACAGACACACACAGAAACACCAACAGCACCCAGGAAGGTCCTGAGGGTGACGCCAACACGACATGTATGTTGCCCTGAGGGATAAGAGACACCTTCAACAGTCAGACACAGAGAACACATCTGGACCAGGAGCTTTAACACAAGGTGCAACAACTATATTACCCACTAAATGATATGGAACTGTAGCGCTTAGAAATGCTACTTTTTAGTCTCTTCGATGCCGTCATGGAGCCCTTAACTACGCTATCTTTGAATCAGCACACATTTAATAACATATTAATGAGAAATGGTTTAATATAGCTTTTGCTTATATAAAAAAAGTGTCAAAAATAGTGCTTCAAAAATCCCTTTTAGCCTGAAGAAACAACTGAAGCTAAACTGTAAGCATAGCTGCGCTGTCTCTGAAAGGACGGGTCTTTATATTCCTAAAATTAAAAAGGTGAATACATTTTCTTTTATTGTGCCAGAAATTCTCCTCAACTCTTTCCTTTGTCGTGAAATCTTAAGCTTTTTTCTCTAATCATATTCAAATGTGTTTGATGTTGAGCAAACGCACGTTCCCTTTCCAGCCATCTGCTGGTTCTATAAGCTCCAAAAGTAAAAGTATATAAGTCCGATCTATGGAGGCTAGGGAGTATATTTGGGTGCCAGAAACCCTTAAAAAACCAAATGTACGCATGCCGTTTGATGTGAAGATCCATCCTTTATGTGGAGAGAACGGGAGAGCAAATTAGAAGAGAAAAGCACTGTGCTGAGATCTAGCAGTGGATTTTAAACCACCCAGAGGACACTAATTAAACAAGAAGGTAATAGTGGTTTAATGATGAAACTGGGGGCAACCAGGCCCTCTGAGGGGGGGGTTAACCTCTGGAAGCTACGGACTCTGCGTACGTCCATCTGAACGTCAGCGTTACATACCCGAGGGTCCCTTTCCCCGACATGGGCGGGCTGGGGGGCTTCTGTGTGGGGGGGTTTGTGCGAGGGAGGACCGCGCCTCCTGCCTTCATGTTCTGAGCGCTGGCCTATAGGAGGAGGACAGAGGGAGGTTAAACCCAGGGACAGGACACAGTTACAAACACACAAAGAAAAAAACATCACAACATCTTGAAAAAGGTATTGATTGACATTTTGAGAATTATATTTATTTACTCTCGTGTAGATGAGAAGTTTCAAACAACGCTCGTAAAAGTTAGATTAGCATAAAATGTTAAAAGATCCTCTTTAAAAAAACTCACCAATTAACACTAATTATCTTTTTTGATTAATAAAAAGAACTTGTTGATTTCGCACATTAATACATAGTCTTACAGATAAAAAAAGAAATGTATCACGTCTTAATTAGCGTGCTTTAAAAAGGTGCTACCTTTTGAAAGAACTAGCTGTTTCCAGTCTTAATGCTAAGCTAAATGTCACCACAGAAATAAGAGTGGTATCAATCCGTTCATCTCAACAAGAAAGCAACTAAGAATATTTCCCAAAATATTAAACTAATCCTTTTATAGCAAACACAATCTTTGAAATATAAAAAAAAGGAAAAGCTCACAGCAACTCAATAAAAAGTGAAAATCAAAACCTCTTGTGTTTGAGGTTTTTACTTTGTCTTACCTTAAACCTTTGCAACCACTACGGTTGATTAAAAAGAACAAATAGGCAAGCAGGAAGAGAGAGAGAGAGAGAGAAGAAGAAATCAGAGGATTAGTGAGGGCAGCAGGAGAGGAAAACAAGTATTCATGCATGTGGCACATAAAGCCAGGCAACAATGGCTCAGTGTGGAAATCTGAGGAATTTCTTCTTCTGTGAGGAGTTCACTTTCTGGAAACCAAGCTTGTCTTTGTTCGGAGAGTCAGTAGCTTTCCAAAGTCAGACAGTATCACCAGATCAAAAGACCATTGCACAGAAACGTGTTAGCAGCAGCAGGTGACAGATTAACAACATTTGATTTAGCTGAATTCATGTCCTCTGTGGCGTGCGTTTCCATCCCTGTTGGAAGCTTAATCATTGATTTGTTTCCAACATTGCTTGGCACCAATAGTGTTTGTCGACCCCTAAAAGTCCTTTGTTAGATTCCAGCAGTAAATAAACCAGATTTATCGCACAACACAAACACAGCCCAATTTCTGAATCCACAACTCTTCCAGACATTTGTTAACCTTTCTTCAGTCTTGAACTGACAAATAAAATGTATTCAAATGCTAAATCTAAACATCTTTAGAGGACTGAGGGGATAGACCGTCATAGTAATAAAAAGCAAAGAATAGAGTAGCATAACATTTCGGTTTTTTCATATATTTTCTACCCTATAATCATGTCTAAACCCAAGATAGTAAACCACTATCTAGGGCGACTTACAACCCTTTTATCAAAGAGTGAAAACAATCGAAGACACTTTGGAAGCTGCCTTGTAGTTGGTGCGTTTCCAATTCATTTGGTTTCCCAGATTGACCAGTAATTTATTGGACTTTAAATACCATTACCGAGCCAACAGAGCTTAATTAGGACCTTCCATTAGCAGCAGCAATTCCTTCACACAATGCAGTCTCTTTGATCAGATGGAAATAAAGAGTGGAATAAGCACCTTGACTCCATGGCCCATGTCGTCCAGGAAGCTGTAGTCGATGGGCTTGCGTATGTAGCGTACGGGCCTCTCGGGGTTGGCGGGGGCGATGATCTTGTGGGTGCGGGACGTGTTCTTGTTGGTGGTGAGGATACCGATCTCCCGCCGGGCCACCTTCTCTTTGTGGATGTCCACTGTCTGAGTGGAAAAGGACACGAGACACTCATTAACGGTTTCATCTTTTTTCAACTGTACAAAATGTCCGCCAGTGGCTTCATTAGTATTTCTGCTCATTGTGATGTTGTTTCTTGGATAGACTTTAAATGCGTCGTATCCTTTTTTGAAGTAAATGAATTGAGAAACTAAATTGTGTCATGATTTCAAAAGAAAATACAATGCTTTCTGGAAATAAACAAATAAAATCATTGTTATCTAAAATATTTTTAAATGTATAAAAAAATATGCCTGGACAATTCATAAGTAATTCGGGCTATGTTATTATTTACCTGTGAGATGTGGTTGATGGAGGACTCCATGCGGCGGAGCTGCGAGGCCTGGATGTCCAGCATCTGCAGCACATTGTTGGCCAGCGTGTTGATCAGGTAGGCCACGCTGGCCAGGGACTGGGTGGTGTAGTTCTTGGTCTCCTCCAGCGCCCTCTCCTTGTCTGGAGACTGAAGGAGAGAGGCATGCGTCATTTATTTTGCATTTTATTATATGTAAAGAAAGCCTGTATGGTGATTCTGATCGTCTTGTGCAAGGACATTTCTTAAAACAAGCGTTTAAACTAGCAACCTTTGATCGAAAGCTCATCCTGACATCATTCAATATGTGCATCAAACACAGCTTCAAATTAAACTTGGGCACAGATGAAATAATGAGCGAGTAAAGGAGCTGCCGTCAGAGTGGAGAGACTTCTGAGGCAGCGTGGGCACATCAACAGGAGCATCAAAGTGCCGAGCACTAATGTGGCTGTGTCGCAGCAAGAACGGTTGAGAATACAAAAGTACTTCCTATGTGTATTTACGTAAAAGTGTATCTACTCTATATTCTAAGCATTGCAAAAAAGCCCAAAAAATGTATTGTTAACGCTTCTGAAATGCAGCATTAATTTGTTGTTGTGATCTTAATATACATTTTATAGCCAAAAGGATAAAGCCATATTTTATTTATTGATTGATATAATTATTTAGAAATTGAATCAAATACTAACCTTACTCTAATTAAAAATGTTTATCAACGACATCTAGAGAAATAAGATGATTTCTTACATTATACCTCAGTCAGTATCTTTGAATAACTGGGAAAAAGCCACATCAAAAGAAAGGTTGTGAGGGGCATCGCTCACTTTCTGACGGTTAATCCAAAGAATTATCTACGGCTAAATTGACGACGAAAATCAGTAGTTCATTAACCATTTGTAAACCAGCGTGCATAGAACAGCATCCGATTGGTTACAACTCAATAGGCCAGGTCACAGCAGCCTCTGTGATTGGATATTGATTGGATTATGGTGACCTGCTTCATATGAATGCCTTTGACCAGCGCCTAAAGAGTTTGGACACTGTACGTTGGATCACTGGATGTGGATATCGGGGACACCATTGCACTTTATATGCTAATGCTGCTAATTGGCCATCTTTGTCTGCTTGGGCAGGTTCCCTCTTACATTTGCACATTTATGTGTAAAAGAGAAAGTCTATATGGCATGATGCTGGTTCCTAGAGTAAGAACAGAACTGGGTAAAACAGCTTTTAAATATGTTGCCCCCGCTGCTTGGAATAATTTACAGAAGGAGCTGAAACTCTCACCTTTGGGGAATTCAGGTCCATCTTAAAGTACAAAGACGACACCATTGGTCGATGCGAGTGCTCGTATATCCAAAAATTGGATCGTTTTATATTTTGCCAGTTTTTAATGGTTTCTTTTATTTCGCATATTGACTGGCTAATGTACCATTTTATCTGTGTTTTACAGCTGTATTCGTCTACCTGTGTTTTATCTGTTGTAACTTTGTTCATGCTGCCCTTCTTGGCCAGGTCAATCTTTTAATCTCAATGAGTTCTTTACCTGGTTAAATAAAGGATATATATATATATTTATTGTAGAGATGTCCCGATCCGATCACGTGATCGGGGATCGGAGCCGATCACGTGATTTTCAAAAGATCGGAAGGAAAAAAATCGGGGATCGAGATTTTTTTTAATACTTTTTTTAAATTTTGTATTCAAAGTTACAAAACAAAAATGACCATGTTCAAGTCTTAAAGTCATCCTGAGGCCTTAGTTTTGGTTTCAAATTACAGAACATCATGTATGTTGTTCCTTCTTTGGAGCCTGTTTCATAGACCTGGTTTGCGTTATTTCTCTCAAGTTCTGGCAACAGAGTGGGGCAGCGGGCGGCGCTAGCTGTAGCAGTAGCTAACGAGTACTGATAAGCTTATTTTGTTTTGATCCAATGCTGCACACTGAACTGATCCAAATGCTGCTGTGAAAAAAGAAGCTATATCCATGTTGGATAGAATATCCAATTAAATAAAAAAATAAACCCTTAAGGAACAACTTCAATGCTTTTTCTTCCTCTACCTGTGTTTCATCTGTTGTAACTTTGTTCATGCTGCCCTTCTTGGCCAGGTCAATCTTTTAATCTCAATGAGTTCTTTACCTGGTTAAATAAAGGATATATATATTTATTGTATTCTTTTCAATATGTAATTACAACTTTACAGCGAGAGACGCCTGTCATGAATGTGAAGAACCTGCTCACGTCTGTAAATCACAGTAGATGCAATCCGGTGAAGGGATATGAAATAGTTATGAAACCGAATAAAGAGGCAGCACAATAAATCAAAGACGAGCAGTCTCTTCTCTTTCATGTGCGTCGTGTTGCAATATACATTTGCAATGGAACCCAGCAAATGATCAGTATGCAAACACACGGCATCTGAAGGAATGTGCAGGGTGCAGCACAGTATGAAGACAAACGGGTTATGGGGCAAAAGTGAGGCTGTCGTTTCTGACATACTAGCCAGCACACACGCTAATAGACTGCTGATACAATTCCTGGAAAGAGAGGATGGATGCATGCACCCGCTATTAGCCACAGTACAAGTGTAAATGCCTGAGGCTAGTGGTGGAAGATAAAGGAAAATTAACCCCTCCCACAGCTTCAGCCGTAATGTACTTTGCATTTTCGGGGTCTTTTCTCGTCCTTTTCTCGTACATCCAATTAAGGCCGATCTGAATTAACGATCCTATAAAAAGGGAAGTCTTTTTCAATTATTTAAAATGTGCTGACACTGTCACTTGCTGTGACACATACAACTGAAATCCTGAGTAATATGCAACTGAGGAAAAACCACCAGGGTATTTGATATCACTTGGTCACATCTGGCTGATAACAGACGCTCAATAGGGTCCATTGATCATGTCAGTGCATTCTCCTTAAAATGAGATTTATTTTTTTAATTAAAAAGGTTCAGTATATTAAAAAAAAAAGGCAAATGAATTAAGATATTAACAAATTAATGCCTTTGGATATCTAGCTAAACATATGTTTTAAAAAAAGGGGTCAAAATCCATGATTAAGGAGGAATATATGCATTTCAATTAAAGGGGAGCGTCTCTCTAGTCTGTAGGAAGTCATATTCATTTAGATGGTTTTGTACTATATTTTCCCTAAATGTAAGTGTAATTATTTACAAACCAAAACCAATGTAAATGTTGCTGGTCAAACAAGTAAATGTCGTATTAATGCCAGTATGAAAAGTGACTGAGAACTAAGCCATGACATTTCACTAGATCATTTTAATGTGATCTGTGTTTGTTTTTACTAACTGTTTTTTTAAATCTGTTATTCCGTGAGCCTGACAATAAACATGCATTGTATACGAATGCTCCGAGGGGGGTTTACTTTCTGAAAATGTAATTTTGTGATGACTTTGGGAGGAAATCCAGCCACAGATTTATTTTGCATCCTCACATAATTTCTGTTCCCATACACGACCCAACCCTGAATGAAACGACACCATACTCATCACTCGGTTGGTAAAAATCCAGCATCACATCTTTGAGGAATAACTCAAACATCAGACTAATACTCAAAGCTCTACACTATCCTGGCCACAGCAGTTTTTACCATAAAAAAAAGGTAAGAAAACCAACACAAATTCAACAAGTATCCTTTCAAACTTGACCTCTGAACAATATCATGTTCATTTTAATACCGTCAGTCCTGCACAACCTTACGGATTTTGTACACAAAGCTTCCTCTTAATATCTGCAAAGCTTTCCACTTTTTATACCAATACTGCACATTTTAAACTGTTTTTTGTAAGTATTTTGTCATATTAATACTGTTTGGTATATCTATATTTCATGTACATATTGCTCTATATTTAAAATTGGAATAGTTTTCCTTATAATTGTTAATTTGTTTGGGTGGTTTTCATACAATGTATCTTCTTTGATTTATGAATGCACCATAAGGCAAATTCCTATACCCTACTTTCTGATTCGGACTGCAAGACAAACACGCTCTACAAACACGACAGACCCAAGATGAAAATAAGAAGTGAATTATTCCACAAATTATCCCTCGGACAAATACATCTGTGCGTTCAAGTGGTAATTCCCACCTGAGATAAATCCAGGGCAGACTGCCAGCATCCGAGGGCCTTCACAGGGCAACCTGTCAGACCTGATCAGCCCTGTTCATGAAGGATGTCACATTTCAGTATCACACCTTGTCAACACCTCTCCCTGCTCACACTGTGGTCCCAAATATCACTCCCTGTCTCTGTGATCACACGCCTGTTAAGTGTGGGATGAGTCAAAGCTCAGGTGACCAAAACTGCACCAACCTGCAGGATACTACACATCCAAAAGCTGCGAATGGAACTGATCACACACACGCCAAAATGCAACATTACACAAAGTGAAAATAAGACATAATAGCAATGTAGGCTTTGAGTGTAGCATTTCCAGAGGTTGAAAGCCATACATTATGTATCTGTAATAGCAACTCACAGCCCAACATCATACATCTGTGGTTGTTGGTAATATTTTCACGGCGGTTAATCTTCTGTCAAACCACAGCTCATTCACATTAATCTGGATTTATATCACGTCCTAAATCTCCTATGATATCTCTGAACAGAGGACAGCTGTGGTGGCAGTAATTGACCAGATACATTGATTTTCACGGTGCCTGTTTGGTTATTTAGACCATTGGGTGGTGCCGAGCAGCTGCTAGCAAGCTATGGCTAACGGGATAGCACACGATGGATGTTCAAGCCATACACACTGAAATATCGAAGGAAATATGACCATATAAGTAATGATATAGCTCATTGACATGGACCTAGCACGGGGAATACAAATAGCGTGTTAAAATGCCATGACATAAGGCTTGCTTTAGCTTTAGCCGAGGCTATGGAGCTAACATCACATCGGCAGCGTTAGCAACAGTTAGCCTAGCATCATTTCGCCCCATGGTGATGGACGTTAAACAAAATAATTTAACACCACATTTCTTCCAAAGCTTACCTGGACATAGTTGCTTTCGCAGTACTCCGCTACTCTTTCCAAATTGGTGAAACTGTCTAGTAGTGCGCTTCGTCCGGCTGGAATCTCCTCTTCCAGAAGCATTTGTAGCTCCGCCATTTTCACATCTTTATAGGAGCAGTGTGTGTGTGTATGTGGCCGGCTCTCTGGCGCCTCCCGCGGACGCTCTGCAGGGCTTTTCCCGCAGCCGGTGGAGAGCAGGGGGTCCCGAAATATATTATGTCATTAATTATTTATGTCTACATATAAAATGCATTAAAACAGACTCCAGTGCCAAATATGCTTATGTAGTTTGCAAAATAAGTTTAATGTCGTCATAATTTGCACCTTTTTCAATTCTGGTTTCAATGTCATCCCGGTTTTACGGTCTAAAAAGTGTTGCAGCAGTTTTCCTCACTCTCTGAAGAACAAGAAGAAAATACATTTTACCTTTTATTACTTTAAACTCGATATTTAAGTTTAAAATGTACAAAATGTGGCCAGCAGGTGTAATCGCGCTACAACGACCCAAACACTTACATTAGGAGTAACCAGCGCCGTATAGATAGAATAGAAGATTCTGGGAGTAACGTGCTGCAGCTTCAAAAACGGTGACATATAAACAGCAATGTGCCAAAAGGCCAAAACACATGCAAGTGAAGATAAATCCACACCAACCTGACGAAACATGAGCAGGGTTTACTAAAAGAGCTGCATCAGCTAAAAGATTTTCAAATGTTTTTCTAAAAATGAAAGAAAATCTGAATGTATTCTTTCTTTCTTATTCCTAAAATTAAATTAAATATTTAAAATGCAAATATATTTTTACAGAAAAATAATGAATAGATATTTTTATAATTAAAAAAACAAAAGACTGAGATTTTCACTTTTGTCCTCTTAGCTCTTCAGCACAATCAGACATGTTAACGTGGCACTCATCTCACATCTTGAAAATTGAAACACAATGTATTGCAAACTCAACCCGTTAGCTTTTCTTTTGTATGACTTTTCTTTTAATGTGTGTTATTTCCTTCTTCAAACTTTCATTTATGCATTCAACACTTTGTGACTTAGTCAAAAATAAAATAACGTTTGAATAAAATATCTTCAATGAAAGAAGCTTGCTCTACATTTTCATGCAGAGAAATCTCAGTTGAGGTTAACAGAAATCCTCCTGAGCACAGTGAGCAGTGACAGCCTACATGGCTAAACAGACAAAGGAAGGAGCGCCGCCTAAAGAAACTCCAACATCTACAGAACAACTCATGAGAAGATGTTAAAGCACATCCCATAATGTTTGATTGACAGCTGATCTCTGTGCAGTGAAGACATGAACAATCAGCTCTCAGCATCAATGATGGACACACAATGAGTTTAATAAAGTACAAGAGTTCCTCAAATGACTTCAGGCTATTTCAGTTTGCACAACTCAGCTGTGTCTCCACAAGGATAATAAAGCCGAACTCCAGCATGTAGCGGCTGAGGGAATATGGTCTGGACTCTGTGGAGGAGTGTCATGGTTTCAGAGATGCTGTAGAACAGTGCTTCTCAAAGTGTGGTCCGCGGACCACTGGTGGCCCGTGAGCGCCCCCTAGTGGTCCGTGAGTATATTGGTAACATTTCACATTTGAAATAAATAAATACATTTAAGTTTTCCGCACTCTCGCGGGAATATCTCCGCAATGGAGCGAGCTTAAGTTGAATTTTTATATTGCATGATATAGCCCAGCGCAACACCGAAAGTGTTTTTTTTATTGGTTAAGTGGTACTTGGTATGAAAAAGTTTGAGAAACACTGCTGTAGAAGGACAGAATACCTGCTCTGTGATCAAGGTACACTCCTACTCTGGAGGACTGAGGACCTGAGACAAGAGTGTCGATATTGTTGTAACAAAATGAATAACTGTTTTAATCGCAATCTAAGGACCAAGATTTGTCATTGAGTCCCAATCCACTTTCCCACCCTGCTCTACTGGTATTCTTGTATGTGACTGCAACATCAACTCCTCTCCCTCTCCACTCCACCTCCCAGTAGCAACGTCCAGTCAGACTCTCTCTACTCAGGACCTGAGGATAATCAGTGAATCTGTCTGGATGACTGGAATAAGACTGATGTTGTCCCATGTATGTTGCTTTTCTGCTGCCCTCAGATAATACCAGCTGTGTGTGTGCTGTGTTTGGATCCAGAGTGATCTCCTGTGAATGTTTT